ACGGAGATTAAATGTCTTTGACCACCGTTGCATCGCCAGAATACGTTGACAACAGTGAATCACCAACGACGAGGTTCGCTGAAGAGTTTTCACCGCAGACTATCTCAGTCGTCCTCTGAGTGCTGCCATCTCATTCCAGAGATGGCTAGGACATGTGTTGCGGATGCCGGCTCAACGATTGCCCCATCGTGTTATGTTTGCGCAAGCAGACAAACTGGAAGCGACGACACGGTGGACAGCGAATAACCTGGGCTCGAAAAATGAAGGCACTAACCTCAAAACTGGCAGTGGTAGGCCGCTCTAGACTCCCAGGTTGGAGGCCCAAGGACAGAGAACATCTACGGCCTGATACGCTTGCAGACATAGTTGGTAACCGACGTCAATGGCGCACCTGTTGCGAGACTCCTATTCGTTGATTTACATTCTAACCGTTTTCACATCTCTTTCTTCATACGTTGTGGCACATCTGCCAATTCTATGTAATTGACTACGTGTTAAATATAATATATATATAACGTTTTTCTTTCCTGAACAGCATAAAATGACGACTTTCCAGTAAAATAAATGCTGATACACTCAGTTGAGACTGTTCTCTAATTGAGGAAGAAACATCCATGATTGGAATACTAAAAGAAATGGGTCATTTCTTATGAATCTCTCGGAATCTTTTTGATATGTCGATAGAGGGAAAATGCACAACGGTAAAAACAATAACCGGAACAAACTGTTCACGGAAATCACAAAAGAGGTACGTTTGGTAGACACTAAAAAATGCGAACGCCACCCAAACGGATAACATACTAACAGAATAGGAACGAACTTACATATTCGGTCAGGATTCCATGCAACAGTGAATTAATGACTGAAGAATCATGTGAATAACTAAGATAGGTCATTTAAAATACCAGCCCGGAAAGTCAGAGAGGAGTAACCGCAGTTATGATCATGCCTATGAGACATCGGTCGTTCTAGTACATGAATAACTCATTCGCACCCTCCCACTTTCGCTCAACGCAATGAAACGCAGGATTCGGTTGATCGGCTGTTTATACGGTAATATGTGATCTGTCCAGTTCCCAGTGTACGACGATACAATCGAGTGTTGGCGCACGCAAAAACATGAAAAATTCAATTGATTCCGTATTTGATTGATTGATTGATTGATGCAAGCTTATGGTGTGACCAAGTAGAACGCACAGGTGTCAGTCGATAATCGGATTGTGATCCATATCACAGCAACCCGATCAACCAATTGACCCGTCGGACTGCCTTGGCCAAATCATACACTTGATGCAATGCATTTATTTGTCTCGGGGTAACAAGTAATAGAGACAATGCGCGCATTCTGGGACAGCAGATGAGCCAACATGAGGTTCACGAAAGGTGTACGGTCGCCGGTGTGGAACCGTGGCAAAATGTGATAAGGAAGAAGACTTAAGCTGAAATGACCCAGGATCAGTTCGAAGATACATGTTCAAATAAACAATCATGTGATGACATGCCAGTAGGAAAAGAATCAGAAATCTAGTCGCGGCGACGTACAGAGAGAAAGCGAGTCTCGAGGTAGAACTATGTTTGAAATGCTGACTTAAGCAAACGGAAGGAAATTCTTATAGAGTTGATACAAGTAAACCGAAAAGCGTATTCGGTAGCGATAAGAATAGCCAACCCGAGAGAGGGGAAATGGTGCACTTTATGAAACGTATGCATGAGATTAGCAACAAGTTTTGCACAATACGGACAGGATATGCGCTAAGAAAAGCAGAACCCAGTAGGCTTAATCCCGCAAGTAACAGTAAAAGAAGCATTTCAAAATAAAGATTGAAACAAGAACAGAATAAATGGCTGAATGATGTGTCTAACTGTTCCAAACGAACAGAGATAACAAGGGAATGTTTACGCAGCCAAGAATACAGAACGGCCTTTAACGCAGACAATGTATTCGGAAATCTCTGGAAATACGAAGTTGCGTGCAATATTTTCAAGCGAGATGAAGAGCATAGAGAGCCGGGTGGGTATGAGCGAGTTCGATCTAAGAACGATATAGTGGGGCAGATGGCATACAGAATCCGCAATCGAATAACTCTGCTGTATAATTTGTGGTCATAGACCTGAGTAGCAAGCGAAAAACATGGAATGCTACAGTGAGGAACACAGAT